AGAGAGAGAGAGAGAGAGAGAGAGAGAGAGAGAGAGAGAGAGAGAGAGAGAGAGAGAGAGAGAGAGAGAGAGAGAGAGAGAGAAGAGAGGAGAGAGAGAGAGAGAACAATGTACCAGAGAAACAGGTGCAGCCTTGGTGAGTAGAATAAAAAGTACCACCACAGCAAGTCAAGAACCACCACCCGAGGATGAAGCCGACGAAGAAGGGGGTGCCTTGGGCAGGGCAGCAATGAATGAATTATAGGATGAGTCAAGATCAAACAGCAGCTGCCTTGCCTCCCCCTCTGTCAGCTCATCAGCTGCTCCCATCTTTGCAAGCCTTGAAATCCACTCCTTCGTCTTCGTCTTACCTTCAAAGTCAGGCCCAATCTGGGGCACCTTGTTGAGTGATGAGAGGAGGTCCGAGAGCAATGGGTGCACCTGGTCCACAGAAACAATGCTTGAATTTAAAATAAAGAATCCATTAAATTGATAAAGTGATGAGAAAGTGTGTGTTTTGTGTGTGCATGTGAGAGAGATAGAGAGAGGAAATTTTCAGTTTCAGCAAAATAGTTCGACTTTGAGATCTTAAAATAGAGAAAGTGCTTTACCTTATGGAACTCTAAAATATTGGGGAGAAAGTCAGGGGCATGGCAAGCAATACAATAGACAACCCACTAATAGAAACAGCCAATGGGTTGTTGGAGACAACTCAAAATTGATTTTTGATTCTTGAGGAAATCATAAGAGAGTTGGGCCTTGGAAGATCCCCAACCAACTCCCAGTTGGGAGATGGAAATACATGGTGACTTTCCCTCCCCACAAGAGGAAGGGGATTGAGGGCTTGGAAACTAATATTAGAAAATAATCTTAGAGAAGGTTACCTCTATGCATAGGAGGTGAATACAAACAAAAATGGGTCCTGACATATACGTAGAAATTACCTCAAAAAGCGCCCACGAAATTATCTAAAAACATGTGGCCAAAAACAGTTGAGGCTACATGGAAAAAAACCAACACACAGAGAGCCTCATGGTTTACATGGTAGCTTATCAAAAGAGGCTAGCAACCTCCAATAGAGTGCAAAAATGGGGTTGCTTTGGCCGCAACAGATGGACCCTTTGTAAAGTGGAGATTGAAGACCATGATCACCTCTTCATTACATGTGCCTTGTGGGTGAGATTTTGGAAAGAAATCACTTAGATCAACACCAGAGCCATAGTTGGCTCAAACATCCAAAGCCTCCTAACAAATTGGTTCTGAAAGAAGTTTAAAAACAAATTCCTAACAAAGCTTTCGAATGCCTCCCCACCCTAATTCAGGTCATATGACAAGAAAGAAACTGGGGAGTAAAAGAAGATTATTATCACATCATTCAAGCAATAAGAAGGAACATGACAAAGAAAATTCGAAGTAACATTCTGAAAAAAAAAAACCAACCAAAGAATGTAATAGAATATATATATATATATACATATATATATATATATATGAAAGATAAGAAATAAAATTTCTCAATTGAGTGAGATAGAACAAATGTAATGAGGTCATTAATTCATTATGTAGCAATCAAGAAAAGGAAAAAAATTTAGTGAGGCCCATTGTAAATATTATATCAACTGCAAATCCCTCATACAAATTAATACAAGGGATGAGGTTCCTGTACAAATTCTAAAGTTGCCAAAAAAGAAAAAGAATAAAAAAGACATTGCTTTACCAAAAGCATAGGGGTGCTGCGACCCATTTTAGTTTCAGCTAAGGCCCAAAACACAATTGTATTGTCAGCAAGATCAAAAGAATTTGGTGTCTCAGAAAGAGGAACCTTGACCCAATTCAACTGCAGCTCAGTAGACGGAATATGGAGTATCCTAAATTGAGACGTAAAACGGCACCATTTCAGCTACAGAGATGTAATTTTGTGCTCCATATAGCATTTCAGTTTCAGGGAAATAGAGAGACTTTTAGGTCTAAGAGAGAGTTAGAGAAAGAGCAAGTGGCCCAATACTCTGTCTCAGTTTCATCTAACTGGATCAAAATTTAGATCAGAGAGAGAACAAAACCCTTTCTCAATTTCCCCTAAACAACCAAAATTTTAACCTTCAAATCATAACTGGAAGAAAAATATAAATAATCATCATAGAGAGAAACAGAAACAAAGTTCAACCTCAAATCAAAAAAAATAGGCCCAAAAAAAAAATCATCATCATCATATACAGAGAGAGATCAAATACTAGAGCTCCACCCACCTGGTCCACAGCCACCATGTTGAGCTTCAACGAGTCCATGGCCGTGATGAAGTGCTGCACGCACTCCGCCACAGCCACCGCAGACGACGGGTCGGATGCAAACGAGGACCTGTGCTCCACGGTAGCGGGGACCCCCGCCACCAGCAGCCGGTTAGCGGCCGCAGGGCAGTCAGCCCTGTAGGTGTCCAGGAAGCGCTCAACGCTGGGGACAGTGTCCCTGAGGGCAGTGGCCAGGGTCCGGAATTGGGCGATCAGCTTGGCGCACTCCGCCTCGTACTCGGCGGCGCCCACCACATCGCGGACGTAAGCCTTCTCCAACTTCTCCGTCGTCTTCACGATGGCGAAAAGGTCCGCAAAGTTGTCGTACATCTCACGCTCCCGCTTGTCGTGCCAAAGCTTGACCTCCATCGCACCACTGCTCTCTCTCTCTCTCCCCTCTCTTTTTCTCTCGCTCTCGGCCTTTGCCTCTGTGATTTCCTCCTCTTCGATTACGCTATCTTGGCCTCTGCCTCTGTGATTTCCTCCTCTTCGATTACTCTCTCTCGGCCTCTGCCTCTGCCTCTGTGATTTCCTCCTCTTCGATTACTCTCTCTCGGCCTCTGCCTCTGCCTCTGTGATTTCCTCCTCTTCGATTACTCTCTCTCGGCCTCGGCCTCGGCCTCGGGCTCTGCCTCTGCCTCTTTGACTTCCTCCTCTTCGATTACTCTCTCTCTCTCTCTCTCTCTCTCTACGAGTGATTTTCCCCCATCTTTACAATTTCTTCAAAACTCCCCTATTACGTCTGCGTGAGTACGGAAATTTACGAAATCTCTTTTTTTATTATCGAAAATTGAACGACACGGTTTCTACGCGTGCATGGAAAAAGGAGGCACCGCTTGAAAGTCTTTTTTGAAAATCGTATTTTTAAGATGGATTTTTTGTCTTAATTTTTAAGGATCATGAATACGAGCTAATAAATAAAGAGTGCGGTTTGTACAGGGCTTACGCTCTAAACCGGTGTTTAAAAAAATGACGACTCGAATCGGAGTCCGGTTCGATTCGAAAATCGTTATAGACGGATCGAATCGGCGAAAAAAATGGGAATTGTCATAGATTTTTTTGTAATACTTGATCGATTTTTTTGTAATCCATGATCGAATTGTTTTTATTTTTTTTGTAATCCATGATCAAATTTTTGTTTTTTTTTTTTTGTAACTCATGATAGAATTTTTTGTAATCCATGATC